GGTTCGTGGGCGAGGGCGGTTGCAAGGTCTTTGTGGCATACTCGTTTGATGCGGGAGATGAACGCACAATCGGGAATGACGGTGTGGGGGAGGTGGTGTTGGAGGGAGCGGACGTATTGGACGAAACGGTCCATGGGACCGGTCTGGCGGAGGTGGCAGAATTGTTCAAGGTAGTCGTCAATGGTTTTCTGGGGGCGGAAGGTGGCACTGAGGAGGGTGGCCCATTGGAGGAAGGTGGGGCGTGGTCCTCCGGAGGCTCGGCGGTTRCTAGCTTCAGCCATCCACCATTTGGCTGCATTGCAGAGGAGGCGGGAGGTGGCAATGGGGAGCCAGTGCGCAAGGGGCATGTGGTGGAGCTGAAAAGAGTTCTGAAGCTGGGTTAGGAAGAGGAAAACGTCCTCGTGGGGGGAGGCCGGAGAAGGACATGATTTCGCCAGATCGGAAGGAACGGAGGATTTCCCCGTCGATGTGAACGATCTGCGCGAGGGTGTTGAAGCTGAGGTTATCGGGGGTGGTGTCGTAGCAGGTGTGGTCRATTTGGTTGTTGTCCTCAAGGAGGTAGTTGGGTGGAAGTTGTGGCATTGCGGGGAAAGCCCCGGAGGTGACTTGGGAATAGGTGGGACGGATGGTGGGGATGGTGGAGGTGGTCATGATGGGTTGGGAGAGGGTTTGGGAGTGTGGGGGGGGAAGAGGGGTGACTTTGATGGGCGGGGAATGAGGCGGTGTGCTGGATGCGCCGGATGAGGGAGAAGGTGGAGGGAACGGAATGATGGTGGGGATTGAAGGGTTGGTGGATATGACAGTAGAGGTGGTAGGAGTGGAGGAGGTCGGCGGGGGGGTGTTGCTAGAGGCAGCTGTGGAGGTTGGAGTGGTTTGCACTGTGGAGGTTGGAGTAGTTTGCACTCTGGGGGTTGGAGTGGTTTGCGTGGTGGTGACGACCGTGATGGGGGGGGTGGTCCCTTCGAGCGTGGTGACGCGGTCGCATAAGGATGACACGTCGGCCTTTATGTCGTCGAGAGAGGCGGTGACGGAGTTGAGTGCGTGGAGGATGGCAGAGAGGTCGGGGGTGGCGGTGTTTGCTGGTGGTTGTTCGCCGGCGAGGTTGCGGGCAATGCTATCGACTGAGTCGGTGCGGATGTCAGACATGTTGATGGAGGATGCGGCCATGTCGGGGGAAGAGGGGGTGGAGGATGTGGCCTGAACGGGGGTGGAAGATGCAGCAGCAGCGGTGGCGGCGGCGGCAGCACGTTGGGAGTTCTTGGTTTGGCGTGGTGGCATGTGGAGGGTGGGGGGGAATTTCAAGATTTTATTCGAATACGAAACTATTTCGAAGAATGATTGGAAATTGTTGGAAAGAAATAAAATTTCGAAGTTCAAAAATTTAAAAAGGAATAAACAATAATAAGAATTTCAAAAAGTAATTTCTGATTAATTCCACGGTGCAAAAAGGTCTTAAGGAAATTTCGGATTTCGGAAGTGATTTCGAATTCAAAATTTCGAGAAGGGATTAGCTACAATTTAAGTTGAAATTCCAAAAATGAAATAGATAATTGAAAGAAAATTTCAAAATATATTTAGTGGAACAAATTTTCGAATTCAAAATTAGAGGAGAGATTTGGAAAAGGAAAAGTTATCAATATTCAAAATGTGAAGGGAACAAAGATCGCGAGAAATAGTTCTACTTAGAATGGGAGGTAATCTAACTAATTGACTAATTCGTACGGATTGATTGCCCTTGTGTAGGGGGGTGCAGTGCGCAG